TTGTTATTTGCAACGATTTTCAATTTAACTTTATGAAGACAGTGCATATTTAGAATATATGTATAAGCATTTATACATGGTTCTGAGTAAGAATGAATAAAATATATATAAGTATCTGGCTGTTGTAGCAGATTCATTATATTTCGTGGATTAATGGATTACAATATAATTATTTATTCACTTATTTTTATTTCAGCTTGTTTTTTAAATATCTTCATAGAATGTATACACAATGTAAACAATTCTTTATATATAATTCTTTTCCATGCATTTAAAAATTCAATAAATAATGTCATGAAATATGATAGAAGTATATATTGAACATAATTTTATTTTTCACAGTCAAGTCATCTCATAAGTTATGCCATCTCAGTGTTTGTTATTTAATAATTTGTTTTACACATTATTGTGTTATGATTAAATATGTAATCATTTCTTAAATCATTTATATATTTCCAACTAGTGTCAGATATAAAATATGTAACCCTCAATAACATATCAAGTATCGGATTTAAAAAAAAAAACGCGATTTAAAATGTTGAGAATCAACCCTTTCGAAAATCAAATAGTTCCAAAAAGACAGCAAAGAAGGAAAAATCAAAACAAATACAAAAAGAAAAGCTTTAAACATTAGAACTTCATAAAAATCAGTTAAAATTAAAATACAATGAATGATCAATAAATTTGGCTCATTCTTATAAATGTTAATTCTTTCAATTTCTCTCAAAGTAATGTAAGTTCTTAGAATCTTATGTTCAACAATCAACAATATAACAGAATTTGATGTAATATATAATTTAACGAATAATAATTTAAACAATGACATATATTTTATATGTCAAAGTATCATTAAAAGTGTAAACTGAATGTAATATAGCTATCTTAAGATAATAAGTTTACAATATTTATCATAAAAATAATTACTACATATGAAGAATATTATTTTAACAATGCACTTATATTAATATAACTTTATAATGAACAACTTAATAAATAGTACAAGTTAAAAAAAGTTAAACAGAAATACTAGAATTTCTTTATATAGTTTTGCATATTTTTATATGTACAGGGTGGAAAAAAATTAATGGTCACGGCTTCAGAGGGTGAATCTACACCCTTGGATCCGTGGACATTTATAAAAAAAAGTTTCCGCAAAATTGTTTGTAACATTGAAAATTAATGTAAAATTTTTTTTTTACATCGACGTATTCTGCTCGACGAGAAGAGAAAAAGTCTGAAAGGAGTCATACGCCGCAAACAAATAGTTTCCGAGATAAACGTTGATAAAGTTTGGCAACGATTTGATTGTGTAGAGCTACACGTATAGACTAGGACCCACTATCCACTTTGCCATTTGGTGGGATCTAGCCGTGTAGGACACGCTCGGTATAATGGGTGCGTGCCCCTACACAAACGCCGTTTGGTTCGGGCCTGCCTTCGAGTTTAAACCTTGCTATCCCTTTAAACAGCGTTTGGTAGGGGCACGCACATCATTATACCGAGCGTGTTCTACACAGCTAGATCCTACCAAATGGCAGAGTGTTAGTGGGTCAGTAGGTCCTATACGTATAGCTCTACACAATCAAATCGTTGCCAAACTTTATCAACGTTTATCTCGGAAACTATTTGTTTGCGGCGTATGGTTCCTTTCAGACTTTTTCTCTTCTCGTCGAGCAGAATACGTTGATATAAAAAAAAAATTTTACATTAATTTTCAATGTTATAAACAATTTTGCGGAAACTTTTTTTTACAAATGTCCACCGATGCAAGGATATAGATTCACCCCCTGAAGCCGTGACCATTAATTTTTTTACACCCTGTACCTTACTTGCGGTATATAATTTCATAAATACAAACTCTTGTAATTAGTAAAATGATAACAACAATTGTAAACAACATTGAAAAACAGTTAAAGAATAAATTCATGCATAATATATCAATAATTAAAAGATATTTTAAATTTAACTTTTTAATCTATTAAGTATGCAAATGGCAGTACTTATACGATGACTTAATATTCAAATGT